TAAATAACAATTAAATATTCCCATTCAGAAATTAATTTAAATGCAAGTGAAGAAAAAGTAACTCCATACTTTTCCAAGAAGGCCATTATGATTGGTGGAAGGACAAAGATTGGCAGTGGTAGGGCTACTCGCGTTAGTGCTGTTTCTATCAGTGCCTGAAAGAAAAAAATATATACTTTTGAAAATATATAAAAATATATAACAGTGCAACATGGCTAGTAAGAATACAATTTTGCACTGATTTAAAAATAAAACACTTAACAAAAAACATTTTAGGCAAAAAAAGCTATCAACAAATTGAAGTGGAGAGTCCCAACTGAATAACTAACATACGCACATGTTTGGCAGCTATCCGTGAGGATCCCACTACATTCCCGTTGCTGTCTAACACATCTATTCCCTCAGACAGCTCATTGTGTCTCATCAGAGCTACGTTACAGATGTTCGCACTGGCTGAGAAGTAAAACATACAAACATATCTTAATGATGACCATCCATGCTAAACAAAACATGACATCCAGTTTCTGTGAAAGGTCATTTGTGAATCTGGACCAATTTTTCGAAATTGAGACTTATGCATCATCTGAAAGCTGAATAAATAAGCTTTACGTTGATGTATTGTTTGTTAGGATAGGACAATATTTGGCCGAGATACAACTATTTGAAAATCTGGAATATGAGGGTGCAAAAATCTAAATATTAAGAAAATCGCCTTTAAAGTTGTTCAAATGAAGTTCTTAGCAATGCATATTACTAATCAAAAATGACGTTTTGATATATTTATGGTAGGAAATTTACAAAATATCTTCATGGAACATGATCTTTACTTAATATCCTAATGATTTTTGGCATAAAAGAAAAATTGATAATTTTGACCCATACAATGTTTTGTTGGCTATTGCTACAAATATACCCCAGCGACCTAAGACTGGTTTTGTGCTCAAGGGACACATTTGTTCATCAACATAGATTCCACCACATGGATAGGTAAAAAAATAAAAATAGCCTGATACAATATTCATTTGATGTGTCTAAGAATTCCCAGTTGAATCTGCAATTTACTCGTTTCTAGTTGTTTTTCAGAAATTTTTACCACAGTAATAGACCCCACCCCTTTGACAGCTTTATTTGGGGTTCGTCCAGAACATGTTTAACTAACAGCTTTAGAGATTAATAATATTACACTTTGCACATCTCCTCCAACCTATCGTCAATGGGTTTTTGACTTACTTTTTGCCCTCAAACTTGAAAATATAACATTTGAATGAAACCCGATCTTTTCATAAAATCTTGGAGCCCCTTTTTAAATTACTTTAAGGAGACAGGGTCTGGATAAAGTTTTTTCCTCCCTTTGTTTATTTTGATGTTTAATGTATAAGCATATATTGCTGTGATTATATGTGGGCATTTACTACATTTTTAATTCTTTTTTTTTTTTTTCACTTTCCTAATTTTGTAACAATTGAATGCTCGTATTGTACCTTGAGATGTTTATTTGTTTTTTAGTAATAAAACATTTATTAAAATAAAACATAGCTGTTCTAATAATCCTGGATAAATATGCATCACGGTTTCTACTAAAATATCAAGCAGCACAACTGTATTTAACATTGCCTTTAATAAGAAATGTTGCTTGAGCATCAAATCAGCAGATTAGAATGATTTCTGAAGGACCATGTGACAGTAAAGTAATGGCTGCTGAAAATAATTACAGGAAAAAATTACACTTTAAAATAAATGTGACCCAGGACCACAAAATCTCTTAAGTCTTAAGTGTCAATTTTTCGAAATTGAGATTTATGAATCATCTGAAAGCTGAACAGATAAGCTTTCAATTGATGTATTGTTTGTTAGGATAGGACGATATTTGACCGAAATACAACTATTTGAAAATCTGGAATCTGAGGGTGCAAAAATCTAAATATTAAGAAAATCGCCTTGAAAGTTGTCCAAATGAAGTTCTTAGCAATGCATATTACTAATCAAAAATGACGTTTTGATATATTTATGGTAGGAAATTTACAAAATATCTTCATGGAACATGATCTTTACTTAATATCCTAATGATTTTTTGCATAAAAGAAAAATCGATAATTTTGACCTATACAATGTTTTTTTGGCTATTGCTACAAATATCCCCATGCGACTTAAGACTGGTTTTGTGCTCCAGGGTCAATTAAATTGAATTAAATTGTAATAATATTTCACAATATTACTATTTTGCTGTATGACTGATCAAATAAATCAAAATATTACTGACCCCAAACTTATGAACAGTATTTTATGTGTTATGCTTCCATACTGACATCAGGGGGAGCTTCGTGCAATGCAGAAGAGTGTAAGACTGCGGAGTCGAGCGAAATGCTGTCTGTGTAAGGACATACCTACAGCAGGGAAAGGGATAAACCTCTGTATCAACAGCCTGGTGGCAGGGTTATATTTGCTGGATTTCTCGAGAAGTACATTCAGTCCCACCTACAGTAAGATCGAATATTACAGGAGAATTTAAATGACATTAACAAGTGAAACATCACTTAAGAGGTTATAGTACTATATAAGAACACTAAGGAGTATTAACCATTTTATAATCATAAATAAATATTCTTTTCATATCAAACATTAAACATTTTAATAATAAATCTCACAAAATGAATCTCAAACAAAACTTGCTCATCACTGACTTACTGCAATAGAAACAGCGCTGGTGACGGCTCCCACATATCCCTGAATAAACTTTGAGGTTGGTGTTGGCTAAAGATCAAATCGGGGGGAAAACAATCATCAACATCCAGGTGTAGCAAATGTACCACTTGTGCGTTGTGCATCGAAAAAACATGAGGTTGTGAACCGCAGTCAGATGCAGAGCAGACGTCTGGCCCTCAGGACACAATAATGATCATTCAAATGGAATCAAGAAGAGGAAACGCTTCACTGAATGACCATCTGCAGCCGCAATGCAATAGTTCAACCTCAAAAACTTGACCTGAATTGAAGAGCATTTCAGACCGTACCTTTGTGGCATTGCGATTGGCGTAGTTCACACAAGCATTGTGACTCTGGTTGAGCCACTGTAGAAGAGAAATTCTCAATTAGCCCGACAGTCACTTGAATTATTGGTTGATTATTCTTGAATTACTCTGTCAAATTTTGACTGATTTGATTTTCTATGAAGTCAGCTTCTGGTAATAGGCAAATATATAGGAAATCGAATGAATTAGGAATACTTTAGTCTAATTACGTATTTCTAACTGTGAAACAGTGGCTGTTGGGATACTGATGAAGCAGCGTTTAGGCTTCCTGGTACTGAGGTGCTCAAATGATGGGAACAAGCCACTTTACCTGCCAGAGCACAGTAGAGGCCAAAGTCTGGTTTGGAAGGAGAAGACCAACAACCTGCAAGAAAATCAACTTCTGATAACAATTTATCTAGTAAGCTGGGCATACAGCAACACGCTGGTTAATCATTTACACCTATCTCTAGAAACAAAGGTTTATTACAATGCAGATTTCAACAGCTCTCATGCTTAGAAGATGTGGATGTGTCAACACTGCATGCAGAATGACTGGCAAGGCTTCCTTCTCTCATATTTGCTCTGTCTGTGTGGTCTTTGTTTCACTCTTTGATCTTTATTTATAAGCAAACAGAAGACTTACGATTGGCGTTCCAAACGGCACATAGCCTGTGAAATGCATCCAGATAAAAGAAAGAGCAACAACAAATTAGAACTCAGAAATGAATCAGAACGCAGTAAAAATAACCTCTATGGCTCTCCTCACCTCATTTGCATTTGTTTGAATATTTACAGTGTTGTGTTAGTATGGTGCAATTCTATTATTAATTTCATGGCATGACCAAACTACTGCACACATGCAGAACTAATCACTGTTTTGGGGTGTACACATCCAAAATAACATCTATAATATCATTTTGCAGAAGTCTTCATTCCAGTTAAACTAACAAATAACAACAGAAAAGAGAAGATATAGTTTCTATATAATTACAATGTTTTAAAAAGAAGCCTCTTATGCTGACCAAGGCTGCATTTATTTGATAAAATAACAATTAATTTGATAAAATTGTAAAAACAGTAAAATTATGAAATATTAATTTAATGTAAAATATTGTTTTTCTGTTTTAACTTATTTAAAATATATTGTAAGATTTTGTAATGTTTCAAAATATTTTAAAATGTAATTTATTCTTAATTTATTATTTATTCTGAATTTTCAGCAGCCATTACAGTCTTCAGTGTCACGTGATCCTTCAGAAATCATTCTAATATGCTTATTCGCTGCTAACACTGGGAAAGAAACATTTGTGCTGCTTAATATTTTGTTGAAACTGTGATACATTTTTACAGGATTCTTTCTTCAAAAGAACTGCATTCATTTACAATATGATATTTTGTAACAATGTAAGTCTTTACTGACACTTGATCAGTTTAATGTATCCTTATATATATATGAAAGGATCCTGAATAACATGTATGCATTTCTATTTTTTTTATACAGTGATCATTTTATATTATTTAAATGCTTCTAACCCTCTCTATGCTCTTACCTGACATGCGGAAAGGCATGAAGAGTTTTTCACCGGTATCGGGGTGAATGATGGCCTGAAAAGAGATGAGTCAGTGACTGTAATTCCAACCATCATTTAAAGTGACAGTGAACAACGACCAGAAGACTGACCTGCTTCACCTTCTGAGCCTCCCAGAGCTGAACACAGAGCACAAGTCACTATAAAGCACTTCACCACATATACTACATAAGTATCCATCAAAATGTCCGAGATTCACCTGGTGATCTGTAATTCCTGGAGGAAGATTCCTTTGTTTAAAATCATCCAGGAGTTTGATACATTCTTTTAAACGACTCTATAAAAATAAAACAGAAATCCAAAAGTATACAATATAGAACTGATCCAGAATTTTTAATTAGTTGGTAAGAATCAGCATACATTCTTTATGGATTTGACTTAATTACAGTATATAAAGATCATTACAGGGTAAGAAGCAATGCAACTCACTGATTAATTTAACATAACATAACACAGACAAGATTTCCATACCTCCGTCACAAACAAAGTGGAAGGATCGATGATATCAATGAAATGTCTCAACCTGCCAAGAAATGTCAAAAAGAATGAATCATTCAGAACTGATGAATTAACTCCAAATATCATCCATGTGCATATATAACAGAGCCATAACCACAGATATTGTGAGGGGTATTCAGACAAATATTCAGATTAGCTGTTTTTCAATGGATGATTCTTAAAATATTAAATGTGTTCCACCCCCAGTCCTAAATATGAGGATTATGTAATAAAAAAGGTAACTGAAGGAGCAGAAAACATCTACCCAAGCAGTTAAAAATACTATCTCTTGAATAATTTAAAAATAGCCAATCTTGAATAATCACATTGAGGAGATGTTGTTGTTTTTATGATTCACAATCAACTATCATATATGAATAATAACAATATCAGACAAATAAATGTTGTTGAGTGATGTTAGTTTGGTTTAAAATAAACATTAAAATTCCCCCTTAGTTGCTCTTAAAATAGTATAGGCTTTTAACACGGTGCCAATCAAGCCTACACTCAGGACATAACTACATTTAGGGAATATTGTGACAATATGTTTGTTCCACCAGAGACAATTAACTAAGAATGAAAATGAGTTTCCTCTATCCCCATAGTAATTGTTAAAGATCAAATTTGCATTACTGTGGCATACTCAAATGAACAAAAGTCACACGTAACTTTATCTTTGAAAACAGAACAAAAACAATGGTATGAAACACAATCAGAATGAATATCAGAGAAAATCACTAAACATGATGAAGTTACAATGCAGTAAAACAAACAACAGATCTTCCATCGTTTTTGTGGTTTAGAAAGCTTAGGCATTTGCATATCACTAAACTTGCTACTTTAGCAATCATCTAAGTATGCTGCAGTGCTAAGGCTTCATGGATATATTTTGTGTAGCATATATTAACTCAAGCTACAGCTTAGCAGGTTGTATTGCATAGCTTACATGTTTGCAGAGACAATTTTCTGCTTTTGTGCGAGTGCTTGATGGAAGTGAGCATGCACTAATATCAGCGGTTCTATGAGGCAAAGCTGACTGGCTCAAGCACAATGGTTTTGCATAATGTGCATTAAAGGCAGGGTAAGCAATTTCTGGTAGCCAATGTTGATATTTCAAATCACCAACACAAACACGCCCCTACCCCAAAAGGGTCTTGCCCCTATTTTGATAGCTCCGCCCCACATATACGTACACAACCCAGGCAACGATTAGTTCTGTGAAACAAAGCAAAACCAATGTTACACCGTATCTACACCGGACGTGAGCGGCGCGGCGCAACAAATCCCAGACAGAAAACTGCTTCTATTTATGACGTGCTGACACAAATTTCAAATGGTTTTCAACGGTCGTTTGATCGCGTCCAGTGTAGGCAGATTTTAGCTGTTGTAGACACGGTGTTACTCATCTATTGAGAACAAAACAAAGCAACCTCAGTGTCCGATCGCAGGCCTCCGCTCCTTGAGTTCTCTCCAGCGCTGGAAAGCTGATCCGATATTTACACGGGTCCTACTTCTTGCCTTACCGTTCCGCAGACGTTTTCCTCTTTTGTTTTTTTATCCGCCATCTCTATCTTTCTGTCACTCGGCTAGTGTCCGTCTCCTCCATATCACGAGTAGACACGCCCCTTATTGCTGATTGGCTACAAGTTTGTTTTGCTTTTCGGCCCGAACCAGTTTTCTGAAGTGTTTTTGAAAAATTACATACCCTACCTTTAAGGGCGTTTAAAGCTATCAAGAAGTAAGATATTTATTTACATTTACATAATATTATTTAAAGCAGTATTTTACATCAACTTTGACACAAGGTGTATTAGACTACATATTATGTATTAAATATTACTGTTTTTAAATCTCTGGATTCATATCGAACAGTGTAATGTATTAGTTTTAACACCATGTGAATGCCATGTCAATAAATCTGAAACCATATTTTCTTGAAATATGGACAGGACTGAGATATGGAAGTTTGACACATTAGTTGAGAAGTTTCAGAGTTTTTGTTTTTAGTGTCATTTTTATAATTTTGTTCCAAATATGTCCAATTATGAGAAAAGATGAGTGTTAACGGTTAAATAAGTCAATTAATAAAGGCAGTGCTTTTTTTACTTGCATTTATGGATTTTTATGAATTTAGAGACAGTTTGTATGCATAAAGATCCCAGAAGTTATTTCCTATTATGGAAATTAGCATATTTATGAAGACGACATATTTGTGTAGATTCTATGAATATTTACATCTACACGTGATCAACAAGATCTAATTATACAAAATTTTTTTTTTTTTTTTTTTTACTTTTAACCACTGCCTTGTGCTCATAGCATGACTAGGAGTATGCTAAACCTCAATGATTGTGGATTTGGAAATCCAGTAAGCAGCATGCAAAGCTTTATCGTGTCTACGTGAATCTGGCAGTTTTGAAAGTTAACAGAGCATCACAAATGGCTTTAGAACAATGAGGTGTTCTCGGGACGGAGCAGGTCACTGTAGTCATTTTGGTCTAGTGCGTACCTGCAGCAAGGTCGGCGTCTGTTCCATGATGCGCACCAGCAGCTTGTCAATGTAGTCTTCCAGGTCTCTGACCTGAACCTTCATCTTCTTCAGTTCGGCCTCACGTTTCTCCAATAACGCCACCTGCACCTCAGTTTCAGCCCGCTGCTTCTTGACATCCATTTCCTGCTGAAGCAGCAGAGCTATCAGCTCCATGTTAGTCATGTTCTGGTACTGAGCCCGAGCCTCCATCAGAGCCATCTGCACAGGAAACAGGTACAGAATCATGAGAAGAACAGTAATGAGGTACTGTATCATGTAGAGAATAATGAACCAAAACTACTTCATTAAACGCTTCAGCTGATCTTTGATCACTTGTGCGTTCTTTCAATATCTTTATAAGTCCATATTCATTTTAATGAGACCCTAAATAACCTCTCAGATCAATATGCTTGTTTCAGTGTCTGCTTGTAATCCGTGTACAGATTCCACTTTTCCAGAACCTGGGTCAAAGCATGCCTCCAGCTCCTTATAGGTGCTGTGAAATATTAGCAGTTTCACTAATCAGCCTAAATTAGACCTATGTTTAAAATGACTGACAAGCAAAAAATTCTGGATTCCACGGACCACTACGTTTTAGAAAGGGAAATCATTTACTTTCATATATAAAGACAATTTTGATGTGTGGATTTTAATTTTTTTTAATATTTCAATATTTTAATGCAACATTAAAATGCTATATTGAAGGAAATGATTAAAGGGGTCATATGATGTTGCTAAAAAAGAACATTATTTTGTGTGTTTGGTGTAATGAAATGTGTTTATGCGGTTTAAGGTTAAAAAAAACAAATTTTCCCACATACTGCACATTATTGTTTCTCCTCTATGCCCCGCCTTTCTGAAATGCGTCGATTTTTACAAAGCTCATCGGTCTGAAAAACGAGGTGTGCTCTGATTGGCCAGCTATCCAGTGCATTGTGATTGGCCGAATACCTCAAGCGTGTGACAAAATTGTTACGCCCCTCACCATACTGCGAAGCCGTGGCCCGGCCGGAGCGAAGACACAAAAACATAAACCCATTATAAACGAGGCATTTGCTGCATCCAGTGGGGACATAATTATGGATTATAATGACTTATACTGTCTTTTTACGCATTGCATTGCACCATGTAAACATAAAACAATGTCTGCATTTGTGATCGGAGAAATGACAAACAACAAGCGCTACTCTACACTGCTCAAAACTCGCGTTTGAATCGTCAGTGGCAAATCCTTTAAATATGAAAAACGTACTTACAGTCTGTGAGTCAGAACAGCCGGAGCTCATCGGTCTGAAAAACGAGGTGTGCTCTGATTGGCCAGCTATCCAGTGCATTGTGATTGGCCGAATACCTCAAGCGTGTGACGAAATTGTTACGCCCCTCACCATACTGCGAAGCCGTGGCCCGGCCGGAGCGAAGACACAAAAACATAAACCCATTATAAACGAGGCATTTGCTGCATCCAGTGGGGACATAATTATGGATTATAATGACTTATACTGTCTTTTTACGCATTGCATTGCACCATGTAAACATAAAACAATGTCTGCATTTGTGATCGGAGAAATGACAAACAACAAGCGCTACTCTACACTGCTCAAAACTCGCGTTTGAATCGTCAGTGGCAAATCCTTTAAATATGAAAAACGTACTTACAGTCTGTGAGTCAGAACAGCCGGCATCGTAGTCTACTCTCCCAGGATCAGGAAACAGTCCTCCATAAAATGCGCTGCACACATCTGAATATTTGGGTTGAAGTGTTCTGTAAATACAACTTAACCACTGATTTCTAGTTGTGTCCTCTTTCGGAAGGCCAAACAAAGAAGTTTCGCTTTCACAACGAACACACGGCGGGCTTGAGTGAGCGGAGGCCAGGCGGGTTAGAGTGAGCGAAGGAGCGTCCGGCGGGTTTGCGGCAACCACATGTGACGACCCCGGGCTGGACTCCGCTTCGTCCACGGTGAAAGCCACTCCGGCGATCCACAGCGCAAATTTGATGTATTTCCTCAGCGACCAGCACGGACCAGCTCCAGGCATGCAGGCATGACTCTCGCCCTCTTTTGGAAGGCCAAACAAAGTAGTTTCGCTTTCACAACGAAACACACGGCAACAACAATACAACAATACTAATCAAAGTTACGCCTTTCTGTCTTTGCGTGAACATTTGGGCGGCGTTATGCAAATCTTCCCACATTGTGACGTAGATATGTGGGGGCGTGTTAGAACAAATCGTTTTAGGTAGGTGTGGTTAACTCTTAACTTTTATAAAGAATATCTCTTTGGATTTGAGACTTTAGTCTTTGCAACTTTACAGATCTTCTTTATGCACCAAGAGCTTGTAACACTCCAAAGAGAAAGGAAAAATTGAAATCGCATCATATGACCCCTTTAATTAATGAACATGGCATTAAAATGCCTTCAAAAAGCAAATCTTCAAATCTACCTGTCATTTTGTGTTGACTAACAGCAAGTTACTTCTATTGTACTTTTAATTTGGATATTTTTAGGATGGTAAACAAACCCACAAGAATGAAGGACAGTCCGCCGCCATCTAGAG